AAGCAGCAGCAGCAGCAGCGGCAGCGGGGGCCGGAGCCGTCGTTGTCTCCGCGATGGGGACGGTGCTGTCGCTCTCACCCAGCGCGCCCGGGAAGGGTGGCGGCGGCGGCGTCCTGACCGAGAAGGCGGCCCCCGGCAGGGCCCACGGGAAGGGAGAGAGCCGTCTGAAGCGCCCCGGCGTGTTGATCTCCGCCCTCACCTGGAAGCGCCTGGTGGCCGCCTCGGCCAAGAAGAAGAAGAACGCCAAGAAGGTGACGCCCAAGCCGGGCTCCGGAGGCGCGCCCGACCCGGTGGTGCAGCAGCGCAACCGCGAGAACGTCCGCAAATCCCAGCCGGAGGGAGGCAAGCCGGCCGCCCTGCAGAGCGCCGGCGCCGCTGCTGCCTCCGCCCCAGCCCATGGCCGGCGTGCGGGACGCGTCCGGGCAGGAGCTGTGAGGCGAAGCCCATAAAGCAGCAGCAGCAGCAGCGGCAGCGGGGGCCGGAGGCGTCGTTGTCTCCGCGATGGGGACGGTGCTGTCGCTCTCACCCAGCGCGCCCGGGCGCGGCGGGTGATCGTGCAAGCGTCGACGGGCGAGTTGCTGCGCTGCCTCGGGGACTTCGTCTGCCGCCGCTGCTACCGGCTCAAAGAGCTGAGCCCCGGCGAGCTCATCGGCTGGTTCCGCAGTGTGGACCGCTCGCTCCTGCTCCAGGGCTGGCAGGACCAAGGCTTCATCACGCCGGCCAACCTGGTCTTCGTGTACCTGCTGTGCCGGGAGGCCCTGCAGGGCGACCAGATCGGCACCCAAGCCGAGCTGCAAGCCTCCTTCCTCACCTGCCTCTACCTGGCCTATTCCTACATGGGCAATGAAATCTCCTACCCTCTCAAGCCCTTTCTGGTGGAGGGCGACAAGGAGCGCTTTTGGGACCGCTGCCTCGCCATCATCCAGGGCCTGAGCGCCAAGATGCTGCAGATCAACTCCGACCCGCACTTCTTCACGCAGGTTTTCCAGGACCTCAAGAACGAAGGCGAGGGAGCCCCCACAAAGGACTCCTCCAACAAACACTGGACTATAAGCCTGGACCGCTAGGAGACCCCGGAGGCCCCTCCCCGACCGCCTCCCCCATCCCACTCGCCCTTTTCCGATGCTGTCGGGCGCCTCCGACACAAAACCACCACAAAAAGGCTTTTCTCAGCCGAGATTGCTGCCGGAGGGCCGGGAGGAATAAGACTCTAGGGGGTCACGTTTGGGGAGTTGCCGGGGTCGGGCCCATATCCTTTAGTCGGCCCATCGTACAGGTATCGTCCATGGAGCTGCTTCTCCTGTTTCCCCGTCCCCCACCGAGAATGAGCCATTCCTGGGTGGTTGCGGGTGGGAGGGCTCCCTGTGGACCACTCTTTCCAAGCTCCCATTTGTGAGCCACGCCCAAATTACATCAACCCCTTATTATGACTGCAGCATCTGAATAGTTTGGGAATGGATGGGAGAGGGTGTCTGCCCCATGATGTTACTATAGCTTTTCATTATGGGCAGGCCTTCCTGTTCTTTGTTAACTCCCCCCCTTGCCCAAGGAAGGTGCCACAGGCTGCTTGCCGTTCAGGCCTTCTGTGTGCATCCAGGCAGGGAGGGGCCACGATCTTTTCCTGATTTCCTTCTGTCCTTTCTTCCAAGTGGAGAGAAATGCCTAGACGATACTCCTGGGCCAACCTGAGGTATTATTTATTGACCAGGTGTTGTCTTACACAGGAGAGAGAGGTTGCTGTGACCTTGCCTGTGAGAGCCCCCTCCCCCCCCCGTGTGTCCCATCTAGATGGGGTCTCTTGGCTGCTGCTGTCCATCACAGTAGGGTCAGGGTGTTTCAGTCTGGCCGTTCTCCCCACTCCTGCCCTGCTGCTGCCTCCAGTGAAGCAATTCCTCCTGCATGTATTTGTCCTTCCTACTGTGGGTGGCTCTGCCATAGTAATTGTTCTACAAAGTGGATGATGGTCATTAGACAACTCTCCACCACTGCAAGTCAAATGCCTTTCATAATTTCTTTCCTTTTCATCTTGGCACTGGGGAGGGAAGAGAGAAGCGTGTGTGTGTGTGTGTGTGTGTGTGTCTGCACACCCCTCAATGAAGTGCTGGGGAAGCTGTGCTGCTATCCTTTCCCTGCCCCTGAATTGACCTGTTCTCTCCCTGTCCTCCTTCCCAGCATCCCTTCCCATCGGAAGCAGAGGCTGGGTGCTGTCCAAGGTGCTAGCCTCTCAGACCTAACAATACATTTGCACATTCTCAAAGTTGAAAAAAACAAGCCGTCTCATGGTGTTTGAATGTAACAGAACAATGTCTGACTTATGGGATGTTTGTGCCAATGTTGCTCAAATGTACAGTAACATATTGTTTTATATTGTATATTTCAAAGAGATAAAATTAATGAGTCAAAGCGGAACTCGGCATCCTTTGATCATTTCAGAACCACATTAATATGGAGGCAGGATGCAGAAAGCATTGGGGCTGCCTGGGCAGGAAGGATGGCAATTCATAGTGGGGGATTTATGGTCAGTACAAAAGATGCATTAGTCCTTGACTGATGATTTCTTAAATGGCTGTGTTGGCAGGAGATCTCAGACTTGCTAATGGGATTTGATATTGAACTGAGGTCCATCTTATTCCAGAGCCCTTTTAGATGAGGACACGCTCTGTGTGTTCTTGAGATCTGGCCCTAGCAAACCTCAGTCAAAGATTTTGTGGTTATTAAAAAAAATCAATACATACCTACTGTACTATGACAATGTCTGCCTATATACAAAAGAGTTGGCAACAAACAAAGTGCCTCTCCAGTGGTGTGTTGTTTGCGTATGTCTGCAGAAATGCAAAAGAAATCCTCCATGTCTGAGACCTTTTACAGAGGCAGTATCAAAGTGGCTGGTTTTGACATCATTTGGGGAGAGCTCTGAGAAATTCTCCTGTTGATCAGCTATATAGCAACCAGTGAGAGCCACTGAACAATAGAAGCAACTGCCTTGGAGGGTGGTGGACTCTCCTTCACTGGGTATTTTAAAGCAGAGGTTGGGTGCCACCTGTCAGGGATGCTTTAAGATATAAATTTCCTGTGTTGGCAGGGGACTGGACCCAATGGTCCTTGAGGTCTCTTTTGACTCTACTCTTCTAGGATTATTTACAATATTGCAGCTGACAAAAATAGTATGTTAAGAGTACATTGCTGGTTTTCTTGTACTCTCCTTTCAGACAGGAAGTCTGTTTGCAGACAGCCATTCTTAATGCTTGCTCCTCTGAAGAATGCTTATAGGCATCTGTCTCTACTTGCTTTTTAATCCAATAATTACATTATCCTAGGATGGCTGACCTGGTTGTTTGTGTGCAGTCTTGCGCCTTCCATCTTTTCCATCCTCAATATTTTATTCATTTTCCTAATCATCTCCCTCCCCCCTTTGCATCTTCATCATAAAGTGCCATGATGATGCTGTACATAATCTCTTATTTTGGTTGGACAATGTTGCTGCTTAAACAAAAAGCTGTATAGACAGCCTGAACTGTCCATGGTCCTGAATACTGTTGACCAGGAGTGTTCCTTCCAATTCATGTCTACTTTATTTAAAAATATCTGGATAGATTCTTTTACTTCAGAGGTTCCTTTTTTAAATGAATTGATGATACTACTTCAAATATCCAGCCACCCTGGCAGATGTCAGAAATGTGCTTATCAACAGAAACCTGGAAAGAGGAAATCTCTGTTTACTTGGCCTTATGGTGACACAGAGGAAGCTTGGTACCCAAATGGTTAGGACATGTGACCCACACTTCAGAAAACTGTTTACTCTTGTTTCACTATGACAGGTGGCCATGTTAATTTGTCACAACACTTCCATGTGTAATTTGGCTTATGCTCTAATCCCACTGGGCAGTGGACCATGAACTTAATAGACTAGTTTTGCATTTGAAATAATTAAGAGAGGACCAGTGATTACTCCAGGTATGGGAAAGCCAAGATTTGAGTAACATATCCTCACTTGCTTGTTATGCAAGTTTGCCTCTATAGTTTCTATTTTAGCAATTTCTTCATCCCAAAATTGTCCTAGGCATCCAGATGAGCTCAGTCAGTCAGTTTTCTAGAATCCTGGGCTCTGTGTGGTTGTGTGATGAATTCACAATCAAGGGCTGCAGTATGACCTGTGGATCTCACAGAACAGATTTGTCAGTTGAAGCTTTTGCACCCTTCTTCATCACAAAGTCTTCTTGATCTCCAGCATTGTGGAATATTTCTTCTGGTTTACAGAATGTTTTTTTTTCCTGTGTTATATAAAATCTCAAGTTTAGATTGTGGCTTTCTGGCATAGGATGCTTCAAAACCTTAGTGAATAAGTTAGGGCAGTTGCATGGCACAACATCTTCTGACCTGGCTGCAGTCACCCTTGTTTTCTCAAATGAAACAATCCTAAACCTTCTGATCTAAATAATTTAATAACCATGTAGTTCTTAATTCGCAGTAGTTATCTATGCATTAGTCTTCCTCTCTGATACTTTGTGTTTTAATATACTTTCCATTTTCACATAGAATTGCAAGGTGTCCTATGTTCACTTTAATCCTAGGTCACTTTAAAAGGTGAAGATAAGGGAGTTGGTTTCAGAGCAAGCTTAAAAAGCCAAAGTCCAGGTCTGATGTATTTTTAAAAAAGATCCTATTATCAGCTACACCTATAAATTCCTCTATCTTACTGGTATTAATGTCTGCCAGTATAAATTGATCTTTATATTCGTCCTAGTTGGATATCAAACATGAATTAAAGAAAAGGGCTGACACGCTTTGTCCCAAAATGTCAGAGGAAAGTACTTTTGTTTCAAAGAGGTCTGTTTCTAGAACTTCCACCTATATTCTGACAGATAAAATGTGGCTCCTGGATCTTGTAGAGGGTGGTTAAAGAACCTTCCATTCCTTTACCTTAAGTCTCAGGTTTTGATTTGTGTCATGTGCAAAATGTTCCTCTCAGTTTCTCATGTTCCAAATGCTTTATACTAGTGAACCCTTAGAATTGATGGGGACTAATCAATTCTTCATTATCATCTACATGATAATTGATGTAAATGTGTATACAGATGCAAATCATTATGGGTTCTAAAGACAAAAATATCCTTTTGCTTTTGGGTTATGAATGTATACCATGTCATACTGTGACATAAGAGTCATTCCTCTAAAATGAAAAAGGAGAAATAGGTAGTTTAACATGGTATCTGCCCCTTATAGCTTATTTTTTCCAAAGTACATTTTCCTCATTGGTGCATCTTTGAAATCAATCAACAGTCTTCCCGAAGATTCATCTAAGTTAATCTTCCCTACATTAACTCAGCCTTCTCCAGCATTCCCTAGCACTTCCAGCCAGCAAGGCCATTGGATGATGAGACTGGTAACCCGGTGCATCTGGAGAGCCCTAGGTTAAGGAAGTCCATTTGAATGGATGAATTACAAAAGGCTGCAAGTCCTATACCTTTATCTGGGAGTCAGTCATAAAGAACTTGGTAGGGCTTACTTCTGCATAGACTGATTTTGAACTGTGCTGTAAATGTTACTCAAAACTGGGATTAATGAAAATATGGCAGGAGAAAACTGAAGATGTCACCATCTTCTTGAAATAGGTAACTATTTCAGGTAACTTTATCATTGGCATTTCATACGTGATACTCAGGTACAAGAAAACTTTATTCTGGAGAATGAACCCTTTTCTGAAATGTATCTGCTGCTCAATATAGTTCATTCTGTATGTTCATTGTAGAAAATTTCGATCAAAGAGAACCAGAACAAACCTGGTTGAGATCCAGGTTGGTCAAGCCTCACCCCACTGGAGATCTTGTAAGTCTTGTGGTGATCAGACTTTGATGTACCTATGTCTACATATTCCCCTTGTCCTGATTACTGTGCTGCTCAGCACTTGGTAGGGGGATATATAAGGATTCCTCCAAAGAATATGAGGTCTATGAACAAGTTTGGGCAATGCAATGTCCTGCTGGCTGATCCTTCCACGCTGGATTGCTTCCAACACAAGAGGAGGAGGAGGAGGAGGAGGAGAAGCACTTGGCATAATTTTACTGATCTTTACTGCACTTTGGTGCCTCTAAAGGGATGTAGTGAAGAGGAGAGGCACAATTCATGCACAGTTGACACCCCGAAGATCTTTCATCTGGAATGTCCTAATGAACAAGGTTGCCCTTCTTATTGCTTGTTTCAGGACAGGAAGGAAGCTGTGACATCATCTTTTAAAAGCTATCTTAAACTACTTGTAGTCTAGGATGGCAGAACCCTTTAGGTAGAATAGGAAGCATCAGGAACTTCAGGAAGCTGGCATACAGCTGCTCCTTATGGTGGAGCACTCATTTGGAGGTGATTGCTTTTGTCCGTTAACCTCCTGCAAACTCTGGACTGACTCTGCTCACCTGGCTAGCTATTGCATCTCGAAGGGCAAGAAGAGAGCATTGAGGCCTTGTTTGTGGTCTTTCTAAGTTATTGCATGCTTGTGTATTCTTCATTTTTATATATCTGGTTTGCTCATTGGTCTTTCGATCCTGCCTGTTGTCTTGTCCCATGACTTCCTGGTTCACTTTAGACTGTCCATCCTTAATAGGGGGAGCTTCATCTCCACACCAGCTAATAATATTGAAGTCATCATTGCAGATAAGTGAAACCCTCCTTTATTGAGACAGACCATTGCTCGGTATTGTCAGCTGAAATTGGTAGAGACTCCCTTCTTCCCTGCATCATAATGGGTGGTTATGAGAAACCAGTGGGGTAGGTAGGCAAGTGGGCAGGTACCAAGTGGATGATTTAGGGCTTACAAAGCCTGCTTTAAATTCTCCTGTTTAGACCAAAAAACTAGCAGTAGATGGAGCTTCTGGGGGAGGGCAAACCATGTTGCATCCTCAGAGTAGAGGGCTTTTCAGAGATGGTGGTAGGGTGCTGTCTTATCCAATTATTTTAAAGTTTGGTTGAAAGTTTGTCCCAGTTGTAGTTACCTTGAGGTCTCAGTATTTAACCATTTAAAAAAATCTATCAGGTTAGCTGGAAAGAATACAACTATTGAGAAACTTAAAGATCAGTTAGGCTTTTATTTTAACCATGAGATTTTATATGTGTATACATACTCATATCATCCAATAGATTACAACAGGTTCCAAAATGCTTCAAATGCTGTGTGATATTGATGTTCATTACACTATCAAGATCTGTGTTTGATGCTAGAGAAATGGCCTACGAGGAGACGTAACAATGTGTGTTGAGTTTAATTTCTAAGTGAAGTTCCATTTAGATCAAAGCATGCTGCGTATATATTGCCCCTTTGCAGTTAAAGAACTCCCTGGGCAGTTTACAATTATCCAGGCTACAAATCCCGCCCCCCCCAAGCTGGTTATTCATTTTACCAACCTTGGAAGGCTGAGACA